TCCACGTTTCTGTTGGTCCTTGATAAAATATTCTTTAAAAAATTCAGGTTTATTTTGGTCCTTGAAAAAATATTCTTTAAAAAATTCAGGTTTATTTTGGTCCTTGAAAAAATATTCTTTAAAAAATTCAGGTTTATTTTGGTCCTTGAAAAAATATTCTTTAAAAAATTCAGGTTTATTTTGGTCCTTGAAAAAATATTCTTTAAAAAATTCAGGTTTATTTTGGTCCTTGAAAAAATATTCTTTAAAAAATTCAGGTTTATTTTGGTCCTTGAAAAAATATTCTTTAAAAAAATCAGGTTTATTTAGGTCCTTGAAAAAATATTCTTTAAAAAATCCACGTTTCTGTTGGTCCTTGAAAAAATATTCTTTAAAAAATCCACGTTTCTGTTGGTCCTTGAAAAAATATTCTTTAAAAAATCCACGTTTCTGTTGGTCCTTGAAAAAAATATTCTTTAAAAAATCCACGTTTCTGTTGGTCCTTGAAAAAATATTCTTTAAAAAATCCACGTTTCTGTTGGTCCTTGAAAAAATATTCTTTCAAAAATCCACGTTTCTGTTGGTCCTTGAAAAAATATTCTTTAAAAAATCCACGTTTCTGTTGGTCCTTGAAAAAATATTCTTTAAAAAATCCATGTTTCTGTTGGTCCTTGAAAAAATATTCTTTAAAAAATCCACGTTTCTGTTGGTCCTTGAAAAAATATTCTTTAAAAAATCCACGTTTCTGTTGGTCCTTGAAAAAATATTCTTTAAAAAATCCACGTTTCTGTTGGTCCTTGAAAAAATATTCTTTAAAAAATCCACGTTTCTGTTGGTCCTTGAAAAAATATTCTTTAAAAAATCCACGTTTCTGTTGGTCCTTGAAAAAATATTCTTTAAAAAATCCACGTTTCTGTTGGTCCTTGAAAAACTATTCTTTAAAGAATCCACATTTCTGTTGGTCCTTGAAAAAATATTCTTTAAAAAATAGACGTTTCTGGTTAGTTCTTGAAAAAATATTCTTTAAAAATCCACGTATCTGTTGGTCCTTGAAAACATATTCTTTAAAGAATCCACGTTTATTTTGGTTGTTAAAAAAATATCGTTTAAAAAATCCACGTTTGGTGGTCTTTTTGTCCTTGAAAAATCGGAAAATTTTATAAATATTATTATTGCCAATGTAAAAATATTTTTTTGAAAACTTAGATCGAAAAGTGAAAGGTTTAAACCTATATTCTCAGTTAGTGTAATTTATTACTTTCGTTAATCTTCAAATTAGTTCAAAACATTTTCAATTTTATCTTTACTACTTTTGGGGCTAATGCATACAAATCTATGACTTGAATAAATTATATTAAATTAATTTATTTATATTCATGTGTTTGTGTGAAGAGCCATAAAAGTTGTGTGTCTGAATTGAATTGGTAACCCTTTTTTTCCTTCTAACGACTGTTATCTTCTGCGACCTGACCGACCAAATGTTCAGTAATTAACCTCATGTAGCCACAATGATGTCCTTTTTACTCATCCTCGCACCTAATGTGACATTCGTTTGGTGGGCAACAAATCCTAAAATATTATTTATTCACACTTAAAACCTATTTGAATACTCTCAGGCAAGTGAGATGGTAGAATAAATCCGTTTGCAGGGCGAATCGACGACGGGTTGTTTGATATATAAATTTATTTCAATTTATGGCCAAAATAAACTACAAAATACAAACACACACACACACACACACACACAGAACGTACCGCAATTAAATGGGGTTGTTGGTTTTGTGGATAATTTTCAGTGGTTGTAGTGTTCATATCAAACACTAAACACGCACTCCAAAACCCAAATGATTTTGGTTTTTCTATTCAGGGGCACTTGGAGAAGAATACTTAAATAATTGTTGGTATAATTTACATATGCAATTTTTTAATGATTTTATTTGCATATAACAAGTGGACAGGAGACATGTATATTTAAGCAGAAAATCATTAACATTATGTCCTGATTTTTAATTTGTCGATTGTATTTTTTTAAATAGTATTAAAAAGACACTCTTTGAACTTGGACTTTGAAAAGAGTTTCTAGCTGTAATTTTTCTTTTAAATAATATTATTTACAATAATTATTATAACTATAATCATGAATTTTTGATAGAATTCCAGGACTGAGATGCCATCAAATTTAAGATATACTTTTTTTTAAGGACAAATAATGATGTATTGTCTGGGATATTTTTAACAGAAGAAACAGTAAAGAAAGTCTTAAAGTCGGGTGGGGCCGACTTTATGATACCCTACACCACTTTGCTGATTTAGTAGAGCTCCGCATAACAATTAAAAGTTTTTATGGCAGAATTCAATCACACACGCTATGATTGTAATTATAATTTAAATTTCAAAGGACTAAATATGCCGAAGTATTTGTATCTTTTAAATTCGGAATTGTATTGTCCATTTGGTGCACAATTAATATGAAATCGGATAAAGATATATATGGGAGCTATATCCAAATCTGAACCGATCTCGATAAAATTTGGCAAAGATATGTCTGAGCTGTATTTGATATATTTCCCTGAATATCGTTGTTACGGAGTTCATATTACGGCTGTGGGTAACAAATATAACAAATCGCATGAACAGTAAATATGGGAGCTATACCTATATCTGAACCGATCTTCACCAAATTTGACATACTAGCTTCTAGACTCAATTCGTATGTGCCAAATTCCATCCTATTTGGGCAAATATTAGGCGTTTGGTGCACAATAAAAAGTAAATCGGACGAAGTTATATATAGGAGCTATATCTAAATCTGAACCGGCCTCGATAAAATTTAGCAAATGTATTTCTGAGCTGTATTTGATATATTTCCCCAAATATGGTTGTTACAGAGTTCATATTACGGCTGCGAAGGACAAAAATAACAAATCGGATGAACAATATATATGGGAGCTATAGCTATATCTGAACCGATTTCGATCAAATTTGGCATACTTATTTTCAGGCCTAATTTGGTTGTATGTGCAAAATTCCATACTGTTCGGGCTGATATTACACGTTTGGTGCACAATAAACCGTAAATCGGACGAAGATATATTTGTGAGCAATATGTAAATTTTGACCGATTATCTCCAATTTCAATAGGATTCGTCCTTGGGCCAAACAAATGATCTGTGCAAAATTTCATCTGGATAGGACAATAAATGCGAACTGTACTTTGTTTACAAAAACATGGGCAGACGGACGGACGGATGGACAGACGGACATGCATAAATCGACTCAGAATGTGATTATATGCAGATCATCAAAAGGAACTATGGGTCTATCTCGTTTCCTTTCGCCTGTTACAAACAAATGCACAAAGACATAATACCCTGACCACCTTGTGGTGTAGGGTATAAAAAAACCAAAATTCGTGGGTTTTCACGGACAATCAGTCCACAAAATCTACTTTCTAATACAAAACTTTTTTTTATTTTTTTTTTATGTATTTTTGTTCGGGGAGGAACAGACCTGTAATCGCGGATTTTATAACAATATATTAGCATTAATCTTAAGCGATATTTTCACGATTTGTATAGCCTACACACATAGTGGTAAGGGTATTATGTCTTTGTGCATTTGTTTGTAACAGGGAGAAGGTAGCGAGATAAAAATTGGTATTTGTGTGTCCTAATGGGTTCCAGATCCGTTGGCGAAACGTTGTATGTATAGGTTCACGTTTTTGTATAGCCCCATATAACGGTATCTCCCGATATTCGGTACTTTAATGATTTTAGCGACATTATTCTCCGGAATTGTTTCAAATTTGGTATTTGAAGTTCGTAATGGATACTACATTCTATGACAGAAAATTGTCTGTGCAGGTCCACGCCTTCATATAGCCCCATATAACGGTACCTCCCGATATTCGGTATTTTGATGATTTTAGCGACATTATTAACCGGAATTGTTTCAAATTTGGTATTTGAAGTTCGTAATGGATACTACATTCTATGACAGAAAATTGTCCGTGTAGATCCACGTCTTCGTATAGCCCCCATATAACGGTACCTCCCGATATTCGGTGTTTTCATGATTTTAGCGACATTATTCACTGGAATTGTTTCAAATTTGGCATTTGAAGTTCGAAATGGATACTACAGCCTAAGACAGAAAATTGTCATTGCTGGTCCACGTCTTCATATAGCCTTTATATAACGGTATTTTGATGATTTAAGCGACATTATTCACCGGAATTGTTTCAAATTACGTGTTAAGAGTTCGTAATGGGAACTATAGTCTGTGACAGAAAATTGTCTATGTAGGTCAAGGTCTTCGTATATCAGTCCCTCCCCATATTCGGAATTTTGAGTTTAGGTACAATACCCACCGAAATTGTTTGAGATGTCATACGTAATGCTACATCCTATGACAGAAAATTGCCTATGCTGGTCCAGGAATTCGTACAGCTACGATATAACAGTACCTCCGTATATACGAAATTTTGATGATTTTAGCTGCATTATTCACCGTTTTTTTTGCATTTGAATATGGTAATGGCTTATAACAAACAATGCCTATGTAGGTCCACGTCGTATAGACCCCATATATTCGGTATTTTTAAAATTTTAACAGAATTTTTTAAGGATTTTATTTTTTGAAATTTTCTGAATTCGTTCCAAATGGTGAAGGGTATTTGAAGTTCGGCCAGAACGAACTTACTGCTTCTTAACTTTTTTTTTAATATTTCAACAAGAGCTTTTAGAATTATGTCGTAGATTTTAAGAACAGTTCCTGATAAACCTCTTATCCAAAAACAAACAAAAAATAGATATTCCTGCTGCGAATCATATTTCATAAATATTCACTCCATACACCTTCTTTATTTTGCTTACTTTAACATAAAACAAAAAATATTTCTTTTAAATGACACAAAAAACAACTTTGAGGAAATAAATTAGTTTAATTTATTCTCACACACTCTTGACCGAATTAGCCGACATTAGATCACTTTTTTATGAATAATACAAACAGTAAAGTAATCACTTTTTAATTTAAAATATATTATATTTTATTCCTTTAACTATAAATAATTTATACACATTTCATTTACAAATCACATAAAAAAAAATAATTTCACATTTCTGCCTCCTCCTTCTTCCTCATCATCTTATATTCCAGAATATGATCGACGACGAACATAGGGCTGCTGCTGATCATCGCTGGCACCGCCAAATCTTGAGAAAATATCGAAATTATTTGTGGCGCCACTGTATTGGCCAAAACGTCCAAATTGCCTTTTCGACCGGGCTAGGGCATCTTCGTCGGCCGTATTATCTTGCTGGGCAAAGGTAGCGACCAGCATTGCACAAATTACGACGAAAATCGTTAGAAATTTCATTATGTCTCTAGTTTCTATTTTTCTTTAACCAAAAACTAAGGGCGAACAACTAACATCAACGGACACACAATCGATTTAAACTAATTGACAGTTCGAACTTAAATGAAATGCTCGAAACGCAGAAACTTGTTTCAACTTTTATACATAAGAATAAAAAAACAAAACAGAAATTATTATTTCACAAAACCGGTTGGTGGTGATTTGAATAATAACAATACCGAATAAACAGCCATGACAAACCAACAAACTACTTCGGCGGTAGCTTGACTTTGGCCAAGCCGACTATTTTAACAGAAATATGATTTGCAATGGTTGGGAAGAGTTTGGGTGATGTTACGTCTAACACAGCAGAACAAAGAATTTGTTTTCATCTTTATTTGCGGAACAATTCCAGGGAAGTCGTTGGGTGAACTAAAAATACCATTGAATCGAAGTCGAAAAATGTGTTAATTAATATATTAATGTTTATATTTTTTATTTATACGCGTGGAAGTGTAATTCCATTCTGCCGGGTCTTTTATTTGTAGAAGTAATTATTTTTTTATTGCAATTTTTGTGATTCAGTTAAGAAATGGAAATCTTTGAGGGATTTTACCGAAACCATACGTGTGCGACAAGTGGCATTCATGGGGAACTACTTATTTATGTTCGATAGAAAACCAGGAAGGGCAAGTATACGAGATTTATTAGTTATGGAGTAATAAATTTTACAGTGATTTTCAAAGCTATATACGAGCTCGTGTAATATTGATACAATATAAGGGAGAAAAGGCCTTTTTGGCCCTATTTCAAAAAATGTTAAAAAATTCCAACATTTTGAGGTAAAAATCATATTTCAAATGAGATTATGTGAAATTCTGTTACAAGATTTCTGAAGGTTAAGGACAAAAAAAATACCAGTAAGGAAAGCTCAAAAGTCGGGCGGGGCCGACTATATGATACCCTACACCACTATGCATATTTAGTAGAGCTCTCGTAAAAAGGTTTATACAGGGCATTTCAGAGCTCTATGAGATATTTGGTACAAAATCAAAATCTATCTAATTCTATCTAATTCTATATCTCTGAACCGGGTTTCTCCAAATTTTACGTATTAGCTTCTAGACTGAATTCGGTCCTATGTACGAAAATTCAGGTGATTTGGGCTGATATTGACCATTTAGTGCACATTTAACCCGAAATCTGATGAAGATATATATGGGAGCTATATCCAAATCTGAACCAAATTCGATAAAATTACAAACAGCTATTTCTGGGCTGTATCTTATATCTGGTACCAAATATCATTCTTGTAGAGTGCATATTACGAATGTGAGAGGCTTAAACACCAAATCGGATAAAACATATATATCGGAGCTATAGCTGTTTCTGAACCGATTTTCTCCAAATTTGTTGTATTTGCTTTATGGCTAATCTCGGTCACATGTGCCAAAATTCGGGCCATTTGGGCTGATATTGGCCATTTGGTGGTCAATTAACCCGAAATCGGATGAAGATATATATGGGAGCTATATCCAAATCTGAACCGATTTCGATAAAATTTAAAACAGCTATTTCTGTGCTCCATCTAATACCTGGTACCAAATATCACGGTTGTGGAGTGCATAGTAGGAATGTTAGGGACTTAAAGATCAAATCGGATGAAAGATATATATGGGAGCTATAGCTATATCTGAACCGATTTTCTCCAAATTTGATATACTTGCTTCTAGGCCGAACTCGGTTGGGTGTGCCAAAATTCAGGTAATTTGGACTGATAGTGGACATTTGGTGCTCATTTAACCCGAAATCGGATGAAGATATATATGGGAGCTATATCTAAATTTGATCCGATTCTCACCAATTTCAATAGGGTTCGTCCTTGGGCCAAAAAAGTATTGTTTAGAAAATTTCATCTCAATCGGATAATAAATGCGACCTGCATTTTGTTCACAAGAATACATGGACAGACGGACGGACGGACGGACGGACATGCATAAATCGACTCAGAAAGTGATTCTATGAAGGTTCTCAAAAGTAACTATGGGTCTATCTCGTTTCCTTCTCCATGTTACAAACAAATGCACAAAGACATAATACCCTTACCACTATGTGGTGTAGGGTATAATAAAATAAAAGAAAGAAAAATATTTTTCAAATTTCAGTTATTAAAGTAAAGAAATCCCAATTTCTAAAATTTGTTTCAATATTAAAAAAAAAAAAAACACGAAATTATTTCCAACTTTTATTCATGCGGAACATAAACCTTATTTTTATGTAGAAATAAAATATACAGACAGAAAAGAAATAAAATATACAGAAAAGAGATGAAAAAACTGCAACCAACTTCAGACTGCTGTAATTTCAAAGCCACTCATCCGACAGCTGTTAAAATTATTCCAGTGACAGCTCATTATATTGTTTACAAGCGTACAAAAGCATTTTGGGCAGCATTTTCCAGAAAAAAAGTTATTCGTGATGGAATCCAAGCGTGGTAGAGTAATTTCTTTATATTTGGCTGGGAAAACCACAAGTGGCTATCGGTAGAGCACTCCAGCATTTAAATGTGAATGAATATTTTGTGTCTCGTAACATTGCTCGTTTCCGTGATACTGGTAGCGTAGCCCGACGTCAAGGAAGCGGACGGAAGAAAACAGTAACATCAGCGCAGAAATAGTTCGAAAAATAAAGAAGCGACTTGATCTAAGCCCGCGTTGCAGTGGCCGAAAAATGGCTCGTGAGCTGAACATATCGCAATATTCCATTCGGCAAATATTGAAAAATGAGCTCGAGGTAAAGTCATTGAAATTCCAAAAAGTGCAAGAACTTACACCGCAACAGAAAGAACAGCAAATAGACTCAAAAAAGCTAAAGAGTTGCTTCGCTTGGCCGAAAGTGGTGAACTGCCGAATTTGGTTTTCTTCGATGAGAAAGCATTCGTTGTCCAGCAGTTCGTAAACAAACAAAATGATCGTGTTTACTTGCCAAAGAGGTCAGCTGAAAATGAGCACCTTCGTTTGTCCACCAGAACTTAAGCGCCGGCCATGGTGATGGTGTGGGCCGCCATATCAGCCGATGGTCGCTCTTCGCTCGTATTAATCGACCGTGACATCAGAATAAATGCCGAATATTATCGCGAACTCTAGCGCCCGCCATGGTGATGGTGTGGGCCGCCATAACAGCCGAAGGGCGCTCTTCGCTCGTATTATTCGACCATCAGAAATCAGAATAAATGCCGAATATTATCGCGAAAATATTCTGGAGGGTGTACTAAAGCCTTGGCACGCAAACATTTAGGCCACATACCTTCGACATTCCAACAGGACTCAACACCATCGTATTCAGCACGCGCCAACCTAGAATGGTTACAAAATTAGGATCCTCGCTTCATTTCTAGCGCACAATGACCACCAAAATCTCCGGATACCAATCCGTTGTACTATTGTATCTGTAGTATTTTGTAAAGCAAAGTTGGCACATAAAAATACCAAAGTGTCGATCACCTCAAGCAAGCACTTCGCCGGGAATGGGCCAAAATATCGCAGAGCAACATTCGGACAGCATGTGACGATTTTATTGACCGTTTGAAGGTCACAATTCGTGCCAAAGGTGACCAATTCGAACAAATCTAAATTTATTCTAAAATTTGATACTATTTCCGACATTGTTTGCTTCCATTCAATAAAATTAAAAAAAAATGTTAAAATTATGTCGTTTGACTTTGTTGCAGTTTTTTATCCCACCCTGTATATTCTTAATCAGCATAAAATTCTTATTCGATTTAACGATGTCCGTCAGTCTGTCTGTCCGTCTATCTGTCTGTTGAAATCACGATACAGCCCACATTATATGACGTACAGCTTAAAAATTTGGCAGAACAATTTGTATTGTGTCCTGTCCTAATGAGCTATATCGTTCTACGTTATCGTATAGTCGTCACATAACGGCACCTCCCGATATTCGGTATTTTTATGATCTTCGCCACATTTTTTTTTCGCGATTTTGTCTTAAATATGGTATTTGTAGGTCATAATGAATTCTAGCTTCAGTGGCGGAACATAGTATATATAGGTCCACGTTTTTGTGTAACCTCCATATCCGATATTCCCGATATTCGGGTTTTTAATGATTGTTGTCATATTGTTCCACGGATTTGTTCAAAAATTGGTATTTCGTAATGGGTTCTAGCTCCGGTGGCGAAACATTGAATATTTAGGTCCACGTTTTTCTATAGCGTACATATAACGGTACCCACCGATTTTCGGTATTTTGATAATCCTAGTCTCATTTACCACGAAATTGTTACAAATTTAGAATTTAAGAGGTTTTGGTGGAGCACAATCCTTGAAGTAAAAAATTGTCTACAGAGGTTCCCGTTTTGGTATGGTCCCCCAAAATACAAAATTTTTAGGTTTTATGAGGGCACAACCGATGCATTTCAAATTAGCAGTAACACCAATTTTGGCAAAAATGTTGGGGTGTGAAAAATTTTTGAAGAAAATCAGTCATTGATCTCTTTGTGGGGGAGTTACAAAAAGAAGGGGACCAATATTTTGAAGAAGAATTATATAGAATTTATTTATTTATATTTATATTCAAAATTTGCATGTAGTGGTGGAGGCACAAGAAGGAGTAGACTGATTTTGGCCGTCTCCGAACTCGACCTAAGTATGGTAAAAATATTCCGTCTTACTATCTTGGGACCCAATCCAACACTCCCTTTAAGAGATATCAAGCTGGCCAGACACTCGATGATCATCACCATATTCAGTGTTCCCAAATTGATTTTATTCCTTACGATCCAGGCTTTGGAATAAACGACATATCGCAGCAAATTAAATTTAAATTGATATTTTGAGATCTTAGTAGGTCCAAAAGATACCAGCAAGAATAGCTTAGTGATGGTCAGGGTTTTTATAGTTCTTCCAAATACATTTAAAGAAATAAACGATTATTGTTCTGAGATTCATTACAAAACTTGAGTTCTGACAATCGATAAAGCAAAAAAAAAACATTCACAATTTTTGAATTTTTGGAATTCAAATCCACGGATCGGGCAGTGGCAATCCTTTAAAAAGTCCTTAAGATAAACTTCTTTAAAAAAGAGCTTTTCTTAAAAAAGTCCTTAAGATAAACTTCTTTAAAAAGAGCTTTAACAATTCCCTTAGTTAAAGTTTCGACCTTCAAAAATAATTGTTAAAAATCCTCGATTATGACGATTAGCTTGAACCCAAAATTGTCAGTTTGATTTTTATAGGAACTTATTATATGTTTTTTGTAACGAGTGACCGAGTGGTTAGAATTTTTCTTTTACATTATTCCATGAAAAAAATATTCATTCAAATTCCAATGCATGATGAAATCCGATCATTCGATTTCTCAATAATTTAAACTAATTTTAGATATTTTTATTAATTTCCCTCATTTCACCACGAGGAAAAAATCTTTGTTCACCTGTGTCCGCTTTGTTTTGTATTCTACTTTCGAGAAAGGTCGTATAATTCAATCAATTA